AGAAATCATTTGTTATGCTAAAAGAAATAATCACCTTTCCCAAGATGATGCCTTTACTTCCTGTGGGATAACTTGTCCTGTCAAGGCAAAGGTGCTGTGTCTTTAACAGGGATGATTGACTTCTAGCAATGTCTTGCCTTCAGTCTACCTTTGGAGTAATTTTGGGAATGATCAGCCTGATGTGAGGCTAGCAAAGGTAGCGAATGTCCATTAAATTTCATCCACTTTCATCTGAATCTGATGGTCAAAAGTCTTCACTAGCTCCATGTTACCCCTGTGCTGTCATCTCTGCTGTTCTAAATTTGGTTGAAATTGTCCAACAGGTTGAAAAATCACCAGGGAAAGCGGGGTAATAGTGAGTTGATGTGTTTGCATAAGCCTTATTTCTCTAGGACATTATACAACAAAGTTAAGAGCCTGCTGGATGTTGGCATCTGCAATATTCAACAGTAAAGATATTTTGTTTCGCTGTTAATGTTACTGCCAGTTTGTGTAGGAAAAAAAAAAAAGCAGTTTGCTTAACAGCACAATTCCAATTAGTCTTCATCATGTGTGGCGTTTTGTTTAGAAAACATGTAAAAGTTAAAGCAAATATAGTCTACCTCATGTTGTCTGTAGTTAGCATTTCGATCAGAACATCCAGTTCTTTCTTCTCTCTTTCCTTTTAAAATTATGTTTTTATTTCAACGGTACTTTCTACCAGCAGGCAAAGCTGCTGTTACACTCTACCCAGCTGTGAAATCAATATGATTTTCATTACAAAGATAACAGAAACTCTCTTAGAAAGACTGTGAATTGCCAAAGGTCAAATAACAGTCAGTGGCAGAGCTTAGAATTTAGATGTCCTAATTAAAAAATCTTCTGGTATAAATATATTAATGAAATGCACCCTGAGAAATGTTTGCATTTAAGATGGCAACACTTTTGCACTATTATGTTGTACCTTTAATTACTGTATGCATGTGAGTCCTATTAAAATGCTATACTTCTTTCTCCACAGTATGACCATTTTTTATAAAATAGGTGCTCAGTTCTAGTTTCCTTTTTTTAATTCACAGTTATTTCAGCATGATTGGATTAGAAAGTGTAACAGTTACAGAACAGAGAACATATCTAGTAAGATTTCTGTTGTATTGGACTCTAAAAATTACACATAAACCAAATGAATGAGTACATCAGTTATTTCTGATAGATGACTTCATTAAAAATGAGAGGAAGTGCACAGTAAAACTGAAAGCAGCACTGGAATCTTTCAGCCGGAGCAGCCACTTCTCTATAAATTAAAATCAGCATTTTAAAAGAAACGTTACTAGTCTCCTGAAGACTTCTGTGATCTTTTTCTTATTAAACCTTAGTTCTTCCATCTGAAAATTATATCAACGTTATTATCAATGAAAATTCCAGGAAAGCAATTATTTTATTGCTTCTGTTTGATATCCTTCCCTCCTATTCTCTCTCTCTTTTTATTTTTTATTTTTCAATTTAAATTCTGTCTTTCTACTCTGTATGTTGAATCAGTAAAATCGGATTGCTAAATATTGTGGATTTTAATAGGAAAAGTTCTCCACCTTACAGCTGAAGGGTTTTTATGTTATTGTGCTCCCTCTGCTGGATAGTACCTATTAATTTTTTATTCCCTGAGCTGTACTAATATGTGTTGCATAAACAAAGCAATCATACTGTCTTAATGAAAGAGGTATAAAAAGTGGGAATGCCTCACTTAGGTCTCAGATGACATGGAAAGTGACAGCAGTAGGCTAGGAAAAATCCTGTTTTCTGGCAGCTAGATGCAATCAAGACCCCTATATGGTTATCTGAAGAACAGTTATTTGCTATCTCTTGAACAAAACCAGATGGACACTAAATAACCTTCCCTCATTTGTTTAACTTAGAGAGGATGATGTTGATTCTCATGCTCTGCTAAGTACAACAGTGTCCTGAGATGTCCGCATGATGTTATTAGAATCTCAGTCTTAGTGGGGTGGTTCTCATAACTTGTCTCATCCTTTGTTGAATCTTACAAAGTCACTGCTGTGCCAGCATTTGTTCAGTGGATAAAGCAAGCATGCTCAGACTCAGTGCAAGGCAGGCAGCAGATTGCTGCTTTCCCATCGCCACTGCAGTGACCCAAAGAAGAGGAAGAGGAACAGTCCAATTTTGTTCAGAGAAGTGGTGTTGGTCTTTGCTGCCTTTGACCTCTCGTGGTGTTTTGGCCTTGGGCTCCTGCTTGCTTCTTTCCTGCCGCTTTCACACAGTGAGCCTGTCTTCCTTCTGCTGTCCTGCGGTGACCTGGTGGGGCACAGCCCCAGCCCCAGATCCCACCCCATAGCACTCCCTGCAGAGCCACCCAGCTCCACTCCCACGGGCATGGCCACCCTGGTCCTGCAGCCACCCTGCTCTCTGCCATCAGATGTATGAAAAGGGGATGGAAACAAAACACGCACTTCAGATTTGCCAATCTGAGCTTCTGCCATGGTTTTGCCAGGAAAGTTGGACACTGTTCATTATCTTTGTAGTTTCCTCAAAACTTAATGTGATACAGCAAATGCCACTGCATATTACTGACACTGAACTGGAAGTTGTTTTCAGCTTATCTTGGCTGACTTACAGATGTAACTCCAGTATTTCCATATAGATTGGACTGACAGTGTATTTATTTTATATTTTTATTTCTATATATATTTAAAACAGTATTCAAAGTTTTTCATGATCCCAAACAATGCAACAGTGAAATAATCTGCATAGTTATCTTCTCTATGAGTAACTCTTGTAAATACAACCCCTAATATGCATGAATATTTTCATTTCCAAACAAATTACTTTTAAAAATCTACTTCTTAAAACCCAAACCGTTCAAAAGAATAAACATCCAGTTCCTGAAACCTTCAGTTCCTCTTATTTGGATGAAAAGATGGATGTTCAATGTATTTTACATTCACTATAGTAATAAAAGCATATTGTGCCATTGCACAAATATGTTACCTTAAACTAGGAGGGCCTAAACAGGATTGGTGTCAATCATGGCAGAGCACATTGGCCTGGGATGCGTCCTCCTCATGGAGGAAAATCGGGGCACCAAAGATTTCTGTAGGAGTCGCCATCTGTGGAGGGGCCTCATGGTTCAGGTTGAAAACTGTTTGCTTCAGTTTTGGGGCCCTGCTGAGTTACAGCCTCTAAAACACTTAGCAGTGCTTGTCTCAGCAGCAGCACACACCATATGCTTTGGGAGCATTCCCAAGCGGAATATTATCCTCACTGCACTCCAGCATGCTCGTTAATGCTCCCATTATTTCATTCAGTGGGACTAATCCAGAGGCCCCTGAAGTTGTCAAAGCTGTCTTTAAGATACTCTAGATAAAACCTGGGGTTGCGTGATTTAAGTCACACTGATTCTCAAATCGTAAGTGATAGTTTATACGTTGGTTTCTTTATTCTGAGCTATCTGTTTTCCTCCATCTTTTGAAAAATATTGATGTGAAATGGAAAAAGGAACAGAAGGGTTTGAAATGCTACTATTTTTCTCTCTCTCTTTTTTTTTTTTTCCAGAGAAGGAATGGATTGAATGTACATTGCATTCCATACAATGCTAGTTCAAATTCAAATGTATGTATTGATCAATAATACAATCAATTTCCCCAAATATATGATCAGCTCATGGGAAAGTCCAGAGATTTTGAAGTTGACATGGATAAAGGAAGTGCTGGATTAAGCTATTGTAGTTCTCAGTCAATCCTGGTCACTCCTTGTTGCTTTCTGGTCACAAAACATGTTTAGTAGAAAAAAAATATATTTTGCAAAATCACCAGTTATATTTAAGAGGAGAAAAATCAGACTTTGCCAGGAAGAAACCCTCCTCAGGTCCCAGTATTTTATCAGATGATGGTATTTCTTTAAATGCTGGCAATTTTTCTGTTCATTCCCATTCATTTTAAAAGCAGATTTTAATTTTTCTTTTGGTGAAAAAAAAAAAAAAAGGACAGAAAAGGATGGGATGTGTGGGGACTGAGGAAGAATGAAACAACCAACTAAGCTGACAGAAGATACTATTTCAAATGAGTGTGTTTCTGGTAGTGGGAGGGAGACTAAGACCAAACAAGAAAGAATGGCTGGGGAGGATCTACTCGGAATTCCTCTGATGTGCTAACAGCTGTTATTACAGTATCTGGCTTTTTGAATTAAATATTGATAGAAATAAATGAAAAAAGAGATTGAGTAAACTGGAATGTGTGTTCTGCCTTCCTAAGAGTACCAGACTCAACACCCTTTTATAGAATTAATAGTATTAAACACCGACATCAGCTGACAGGAAATAAGAAAGTTCCCATGGCAACTAAAAATAAGCACAGGAGGAAGAATGCATCAAATGCTGTCAGCAGACTTCATAAAAGGCAAATATATGGAGATAACAGCACAAAAGAATATACGAGACTGTCTCGTAAACAACATACATGCTTGGATGGCTTGTTTTTGTTTCCTTCCCAACTAGGAACACTGCACCTTACATGCAGAATCTACTTAACCAACAGTTAAATCACCTTGCAGAGTGTGGCTCCTGGTTTACGTGCTGTGCAACGTAGAGGCAGGACCCACGAGTTTGAAAGCAGAGGCAAGGTGAGTGCACAGCTGTACCACGTGTAAGCTGTCATCTCAGTGGGAGAATGAATTTTAAAACCGTTTAACTCCTGAACTTCTTGGATTACCTGCTTTTCCTATCTATCTTTTTTTCCTACCTCCACTTCTCTCACAAGAAGCAAAGCTGAGCCTGCCCCAGACCTGTGTGGTGTGGAGAAAGCTGCGTTATTTTCCCTTCACTCTCCATGGTCTCAAGTTTCAATTGCTCCTGCAGACCCTTCCAGGCTCTCTCTTCTGGTACATCTTGGCCATTAAGTACCTCTACAGACATAAAATCATTTTCCTGTGTGAAGATGTTGCTATTTTCACAGTAAAATACTCCTGCTGTGCAGTGCTGCACCTCCACACAGGACCTTTGTCACAGTGGCTGTGCCCTTGTGGCTCTGCTTGCCTGATGCATCGAAGATAAACCTGCTACTCCCCACATCCTGGCCAGCTCAGGAAACTTGGCTGCTGAGCAGAAGACAGCCCCACATATAACAAAGGTAGGTATCATTTCTCCCCTGGTAGCTCTGTCCTGTTAAGTGATAAACAGTTCATTAATGTGAACTGTGGCATTGTGAGGTGATTGAGGAGAACACCAATGAGGACCAAAAGCAAGGGCTGGGAGAAATGTGGTCATACTGCTCCAGTGCTGGTAGGGACCCTTATCTTTACTCAGGACTTTTAGTGTGTCTATGCTGAGTGATGCCCTGGCTTTGAATTCACTGCTCGTGTTGGAAAAGATGATTTTATCATTATAAGGAAAACCTTGTTGTCAGTCTTAGGGCTGTATGAAAGCTCCTCCTGTAACCCACTCCTCTGCTCTGGTGGACACACGTATTATCATTTCTTCCATATAACTCATCTGGACATGTGTCTATATTTTTACCCTTCCCATTCCTGTTGTGCCATGCTTATGATATGGTATCACAGATGCAACCCATCATTATGTGATTCACGCTGCAAGTCAATGCATGTAACCACAGGCATGCAGAGTGTGAATAGATATCAGGCACTGATACTATTATAGCTTACTCTGCAGTTTGCTCGTGTACTGGCTGTTGGGAGCAGTAAATGCCCTACCTCAGTGTGGAACATACTTGCACTGCCTACACATGCACAAGAAAGAAAGAACCACGTGCACAACTCCAGGTAAGTTTAGGACCTGATCATGAGCTGTCCACAGCAAAGCATTGGAAACCAGGTGATGTCATCAGCCAAAGGGATCCGCTTTCTCAAATTGGCTGACAAGAACAAGCAGACACATGTTATGTTTTGCTCTGATATAATAAGCACTGTGAAGATATTAGCTGTTTTCTGATTGAGTAAGGGTGTGTACTACACATAATACCCCAGCAAACAAAATTGTTCTGAAATTATCTAACTAGGATGTCACTGCAAAGGGAAATGGCCTATTCCATGTATTCCAATATTCCATTCAGGGGATGGCAGTTGAGCTCTTAGTCCAGTAACAAGCTCATTCTTATTTGTGCCTTTGCTACCTGGAAGCAGAGGGCAGCACGCATCTGTGCTTCAGATAGGTGTGGTGCTGCGGGACATCTGGAGTCATACAGATACAGCTGGCACAGCTGGCTCTGTTCTTCCAACTGGCCAGCGAGCTCACTGCTCTCTTCATGAGACGAAGGAACTTGTTGACCACTTCCCCAGTGCTGATGCAGAGCTGGATAATTGCAGTGGTTACTGTGGTTAGACTGTAGTGTATTTTTTCATACTCTTCTTGTGAAATGTTGCAGCTCAACCCACCTTTTGCTCCTGGCAGATGATGGATGTGCAGGCTGTGCAAATGGGTGCAGCAGGAGTCAACTGATGTTTTTTTCCTCCACAACTAGGTTGTATTCTTCACCTTGTGTGAACCAGCAGGGCAGCACAGTAGGCAGTGGGTCTGATACAATCGAGTCAGATTTAGCATTTAATTTATCCTCTCATATTCAATAACATTCTCTGATTACTGAGTTGAAATAAACAAGAATCAATGACAAGCAAACAAAGGATCAGCGATCTTGTAATTTTTGTTTTGTTTGTTTTGTACTTTGCTGCTATTTTTTATTTGATACGAATCTTAAGGCAAATATTAAGAAAGAAGCAGAAGGAACAAGATACATGCTTTCAATGTTGTTACTAAACAACCTCAGGATTTTTTTTCTTAATAACTTTCTTAAAGTAGACAATTTCAATGTTTCTCTTAGTTTAGTTAGAGCACAAAATGAACTATATGTTCACAAAAGGCACTATATGTAATGTGTAAGTTCTGTACCAAAGCCTGCTATTAGTGGTTCAGAATATGACTGCTGAAATGCAAACTGTCCAATATGCCAACTTCAGGGAGATTTAGATTAAAAAAAACAAATCTACAAAGCACAGAAATCAGTTTTCATTTGAAAAATGTGCTTTGAACAATGCCAACAATCAAAAGAATTTCAAAAGTCTTGTTTGTAGAAGGGATAAATACATCCTTCTTCTCTCCTTTGTCACCTTTAACAAAGTCCAGTTCCACTGAACCTGGAAAACATTTTGACCAAGTTATTTGGCTTACCTGCTCCAATGCAAAATTTCACTGTAGCATCAGTGCCAACAGTTGCTTCAAGTGCTGCTCACTCAGCATGGTTGATCCAGCCAGTAGTTAGACCCAGAAGCTGAAAGGGATTCTGTGTCAATTAGCACAATTTCAGCAAGCTCAGCTGTTGGACTTTTCCTTTGTATAGGGCAGAGGAAGTGATGGCCCTCACACTCTGGGTCTGAAGCTCAGGTAAGTCTTGCTGATGAGGTGCTTGAACAAACTCCTAAAAAAACCACCTTTCAGCTGGAATGTGGAAAGAAACCAGAAGAATGAGAAAACAGGAATGCCTTTGCAATACTGGTGTGTAGTGCAATGCTTTTTTTCCTTTATAAAGTGATCAGCATTCTACTAAGGTCTTCATTATAACAGAATCACAGAATTAAGGGAGTTGGAAGGGACCCATGGGAACCCTATGGGTCCCATGCCCAAGCCTCTGACAGAGCAGGTTCCCTGGAGTAGGTTGCACAGATCTCTTTGTTAGCAGATGACTTCAGGATTACGATTAACAATTCTCTGCCTCATGGATAAATCTTTCAATGAATGCCGAGGTTACATTACCAACGTAAGGTTACATTTGTTGTTCATGGGTAGCATACTTGGAATGAAGTACTTTACAGTGATTCTGTAAGTGCTCAGAACACTTCTGGAAGTGCTATTAAGAAATGCGTACAAAACTTAGGAAACAAAGCAAAACTGGGCAGTGTACAAGCTGGTCTGTCTCTGTATGGGAGATTTCTCAGAAATGGAAAGAAATTCTGAAAGCAGTGGATCAAATGTTCTGTTGTCATTGCTGCACTATTCTGTTGGAAATAACTTTCCTCATTAGAAACAAATGCAAAATTTTGCATGAAGCTTTTTCTCAGCTAATTTAGAGCAGGTTCTTTCGTGTGTTTATTCCTAAGGGATGCAAAACATTTCTATTGCAATGAAAGATGGAGTTGATGAGTACTTTGCAGGACTGGGCCACCGCTACTTCAAGGATGATCCCACATTCTGGGGACCTCAGGAAGTGCACCAATACAGTCTACTCAGTGACTTGCTAAGTAAATAAGGTTTAAATAATCTTTATAAATATAGTCGCATTGGGAGCTCCTTGCCCATGATTAATCTGAAAATAACCAGAAATATTTCATTGGATTAATAAATCAAAATTTTCAGTTCAATGCAACTTCAAAATTGAGGGCACATTTCTTTTTGTATTGAGAACATAGTTTTGTTCCTTGTTCCGTACGTTTCTATTTCTTCAGTAAGTGTAATTTGAAAGAGGAAGAGAAATATATGACTGATGCATTAAGATCAACCATGATAGGTGATTTAATATACAAAAGGCTCTTCAGATATTCCGGGAAGAAAATGTAAGTGAAAAATGCAGTATTATGGCTAGTACTCATTTGCTGTGTTACAGTCAGAAGTACAGTATCTGAATTTTCCTCATGATTAAAATGGCTTTTAACTTTACTGGCAAGTCCAAGCTATACCATGGCGTTAGTGATAACCAGGTTATCTTGCATGTGCAGCCTAGGAGCACGTGGCAGCAGGGTGTGTGATGCACATAAGTCACTGTCCAGAGCCCAGAACAGTGCATAAATATTGTCTACAGAGCACACAGCATATTTTTAATTTTATGCTAACATATGACAAGGACATTTTAAAAATGTCTGGCAAGACACTATGAAATCTTCTTATTGTAAGTCACAGGATTAATTTGTGGGCTCCAAATCCGTTTCACATTAATGTTCTTGAAGCACAGGCAAGCAGGGCTGTGTCATGCGACCTTCCTGGTTATGAAGGACACAGGATGGAAGGGAAACTGCCAGAAACCTCCTTTCTGTTGAAGGCTCTGGTGGCAAGGAGGATGAAATCATTCCAGGTTTATGTCTGTAACCCAGCTGTTGATGGTTTGAACTTCAAGAGTGTTGGTTTGCCAGGTGAGAGGCAGGGGAGAGGAGCTAGGAAGCATTCAGTGGGGCAGGCTGGTCACTCAGATGGGACCTGCACCTTGGGCTACCCCTCCACGGCTCACACAGAGGGACCAAAGGGGCTGCCCATGTCCACTTGGTTCTCCCTCTTGGTATCCCTGCCTGTTGCCGTGGCCTTCTAATTCACCAGGCTAGAGAAAACAAAGTGACTGCATAAAGTGAAAGGTTAGCCTGACTTTTTCAGTTGCCTATGTGCATGCAAAAGATGCTATGAAAGGAGGCTGCTTTGTGAAGATGCATCAAAGAGGGATTTTTACTGTTTGTCATCGGATTTCATTTCAGTGCTAAATCACATCAACCTCTGCAAGAAGTCAGGAAAAAATGGAAAATGTGTCGCTGCTGTCATCCCAAGTTTTGTTTGCATTTATTTACATTAAAGCTCTTGTTTCTGTAGGACTTTTGAGGCTGATCTTGTTCTTGTCTCTTCTGGGTTTCAAGAATATATTTTAGATACTACGTCAAGTCTCAGTGTTGCTTGTATTACATCTACATACTGCAAAATTAGGCGATCTGAATTATGCTCCTAGGAAAGCATTTTAGCATCTAAAGCCATAAGTTTCTAATTATCAGTTTAGCCATCATGCATTTTTAAAAAATATATTATTATTATTATTATTATTATTATTTGCATGTGTTAACATTATCTACTAGAATAAATATTAAAAGGATGCAAAGCTTTGAAAGTCAATCAGTAAAACACAATTCTAGTATTTTCTGGATAGAATTTGTGCAATTTTTGCTTTCTTCGGATTTGTGCATTGCAATCAATTTTAAATTTGATTTGATTTAATTTGATAAATTAAATAATAATTTAAAGACTTTTAATTAAGAGAACATATACTTTGTTTTTGTATTTGCTGATAGATCTATTCTCTTGAAATTCTTTAAAGTCAGACACCTGGCATGGAAACATAGTTCATATAAATGGCACATTAATGGGCCCAGTATTTGATTTTATCATTGTGTTCATTGAGTGTCCAATGCCTTATTAATTTCACATTGTGCAAAGTTGGTTTAATTCAGAATTATTTGTTTCCTTATGACCATTTCTTTTATGGTCGTCATTAGAGTATCCAGCTGTTTCACAAGCAGTAATGAACTTCTGTCATACTACTTTGCTGCAATAAAGAGTATTATTAGTCCAATTTTTTCAGATAATAAACTGAAGCAGAGGAATATAAATAATGACTAACTACAGATTTTGAACACTGAGTAGGAAAAAAAAAATAACACTATCATCAGATTCTGGTGCAGTCTTTTGTTCATGGCACAGTCCTCACTGATATAATGTGTGAGGACTCAGTGCTCCTGCATGACGAAGGTAGGGTCTTGATTCAAATGAAGAGAGCAAAAGTGAAGCAAATGAAGTTTTAAATACCTTGCCTCACACAGCAGCTCTATCAGTCAGTGGCAGATTTCAGGCCTCCAGGGCAGCGTTCAGCTGTCTTAACTATGAAATCAATTTTTATTTTACTGCAGTTTGTTTTCTTGAGTGGTGCATGCATTCCACCTAGAGTTAGGGTGGAAATTGCTTTCCAGTTCCTTGCAAGTTTTCCAGCCCAGCTTCACAATGGGATGCTTGTTGAAACTCTTCAAGGACATCCTGGAAGAACCAGAGCTGCTCAGAGGAGCCTGGGGAGGAATCACAGGGTTGCTGGCCCTCTGGAGCTTGACCTCTTCCATTCTGCTGCCTCAGTCAGCCTGCTTGCACTCTTTCCAGCCTAATAGAGCACCTCTGTTTTATGTGAAGAAGAAAGAACTCGTCCAGCTGTGTCAGATCTGTCTCATGTCCCTGCCGTGGGGCGATGAGAAATGCTCGTCAAAAGGGTGCTGCCCTGTGGGTGTCCCCAGTAAAAGGAGGTTAATGCCTTCCTCCCTGCTTCTCTGTTGCAGCCAGGGGTCAGATCCACACAGCCTCAGCCTTGGTTTCGTGTCCAGCTCTGGAGTCAGAGCACCTGGGACTAGCAATTGCAGGGAAAGCCTTGTTTTAGCCTCCTTTATTCTGGGGTCAGGAAGAATGTTGGCTTAGCATGAACAGAAAATGCTGTTGATCAACTGCTACTAAGTATATGCAATCAGCATTTTTCTCAATTATTAACAACTTGGCTACATTTGAACATTATACCCCTCCACACACATAGATGCACAACAAAAGGCTTATCCATCACACAAAGGCTATTCAGTGCAAAATTTTACTTCCTTGCCTCAAGTTGTTGTACTGCCAGAAATTATTGACAGAACCATAGTAAATTTGTAGTAAATAGTATGACTGGCAAATAATATATTTTCTGCTGACTTTATTATTGGAAAAAACTGGACAATCCATGCTGACACCCTGTTGGAAACCAGACATGAAAAATTCCAGTCTCAACAGTTATATTTTGGAAGAGTTATGACTGAAATGAAGGGTTTGTGTTGGGAAGAGTTTGGCAGCATTAACAACATAGAGCCTTGACCACTTGATTCATAATTGCTTTTCTCAAATTTTGAGCTGTGAATCACCTGTGCCCCTAACTTTCCAAGAGTCAGCATCCCTGGCAAGTCACCAGGTAGTCTACGGTGCTGGTATGAAGACAGCAGTGCTGAAAACATGTGGAAGTATATAATGAGAAAACTAAAAGTAGAAATGCATTTTCTGTGCAATTTCCACAATACACGTAGTGAAATCTTTCAGTTTGCTCATATTTCTGGAAAGAGCAGTTTTGAATCAGATGTGATTTTTCTTACTGAACATACGATGGGGTCAGCATATGTTATTTGCAGTTGATAATTTTCAGTTGTAGAATCAATGTGTTTACAGATTTGTTTCATTTTAATGATGTTAATTTAGGTGTGAACCACACAGACTATGAGATCATTAACACTGGTCCTGTCCTCATTTGAAAAAAAACGGTATGTATTTCTTCGGTCAAATAATTTGTGGAGAGAGAATAGAGGGAATATTTTGTTGGTGTGGTACAATGCTGTTTCTTTGAGTTTGCTCAAAGAAACATCAAGTGAAATGACACTTTAACTTATCTTGCAAGCTTATTATTATGGTAGAATTTGCTTTAAATAACCAAAGATCCCAATGATTGGAGGTGGTTCTTCAGCTTCAGGTAAAGACAATAATTGGTAGAATCAGTGCAGGATTATTTTAACAGCATGGGGTTAAAATGTGTGTATTTTTACATCTTTGGGAATTGTCAATCATTTTGTACCTGTTTATTTCACAGTCAGATTCCAATTACAGCCTACTGCTAGGAAACCTGGCAATAAAATTTGGAAAATACAGCTTGAAAGAGGTTATTGTGTTCTGAGGTATCATCAGAATAGTTGGTGTGTCTTTGGAAGCGGACAGGGGATAGCAACACAAGTAGGTTGTTTTTCATTTCACTTTCTAGGCATGACCCAATGAACTTTCTCACAACTGGTAGGATTACGCCAGTGAATTGCAGAAAGCAGATTTGCACTCTGAGCACATTCATGCCTTGACTGTGGGTGTCGTGGTGAAATAAAAAAAGAAGCCAGATTGTTGTGATAATACCAAATTGACAGGACAAGACATAACTAGAAGGGCCAACACCCTGAGGCACGTTTCATCAAGTTGAAACTCAAA